ATACTTTGTTCTGTGCTGAAAATAAAATCACCCAAAATTCACGAATGGAAATCAAATGTTTTAACTAGTGGAAGCCTGGATTTGGAGTCATACAAAAAATTTGAAAAACAAAATTTTAATTGTGATGTAATGTCCTTAAAACAATTCAAAATTAGGCTCACTATTGTAGGTGGCCTGGGCATGCTCCTCAGGAGGTGGCCGATGGTCTCCTGAGGGAGCTCCTCCCAGACCTGAACTAAAGCATCCGCTAACTCCTGGACACTGTAGTGGATGGATCAAGACATGATGTTTCAGATGTGCTCATTTGAATTAATGTCTGAGAAACGGGTGGGACAGTCCATAGCTTCAATGCCTTCATCAAGTAGGAACTACTGACACACTCCAGCCACATGAGGTCTAGAATGGTCCTGCATTAAGAGGAACCCAGGGTTAAACTCACCAGAATGTAATCTTGCAAGGGTATGGGGATCTCACTTGATATCTAATGGCAGTCATGCTACCTCTGGCGAGCACATGGGAGCACTGTGTGGCACTCCAAAGAAATGCCATCCCAAAACACATTTAATTGCTCACTGCCAAACTGGTCATACTCAAGGATGTTGTAGACAGTGGATCACTCTCCATGGTGTCTCCAGATTCTGTCAAGTTTGTCAAATAGTGTATCAAATAGCTTAGTTTGAACTTGCTTTCATCTGCAAAGAGCACAGGGCACCAGTGGCAAATTTTCCAATTCTGGTGTTCTCTGGCAATTGCCAAGCATCCTGGATGGTGTTAAGCTGTGAGCACAAACCCATCTGTGGACGTCGGGCCCTAATACCATCCCCATGGAATCGGTTTCTAACTGTTATGCAGACACATGTACATTTGTGGCCTGTTGGAAGTCATTTGCAGGGCTCTAGCAGTGCTCCGCCTGTTTCTCCTTGCATAAAGAGACAGCAAACCTTCTTGCCACAGCTCGCATTGATGTGCTATCCTGGATGAGCTGCACTAATTGAACCTCTTTGATTTCACATTAGGAAAAAAAAAAACTCTGCATCTAATCCCTCGGGGAGTAGGGAACTGCCATCAAGTGGCACCCAGGGTCTTGCTCAAAAACCAGATGCAGTTTGTGGGAGTGGGGCTCGAACTCAGAACCTCAGGATTCCAAGCTCTATGCCCTGACCGCTAGGCCAACACTCCCCTCTCCTGTCCCACTACCTGAGCTGAACTTGTATGGGTTGTAGAGTCCGTCTTATGCTACCACGAGTTTGACAACAAAACCAATATTCTAAAGTGACCAAAATATAAGCCAGTAATCATAGGTACTGAGAAGTGGTCTGTGATCCCCACCTCCAGAACCTCTCCTTCATTGAGTGTGTTTTGCTTATTGCCAATAATTTCCACCTGTTGTCTATTCAATTTACACAACATGTGAAATTGATTGTCAATCAGTGCTGCTTCCTAAGTGGACAGCTTGGGGTCCCAGAAGTTTGATTTGATTGAGTTTATATTGCATTGTTTACAAGTTCCCTCTATTTTTTTGAGCAGTGTATTTTGCTTTGTGAAAATCTGAACAGTTAACGTTATGTTAGCTCAAGCTGCTGCGGTACTTTTCTAGTGAGTTCTGGGTATGCATTTTGTTAGGGGGAAAAAAAGTAAATTTGGTTGACTAAAACATTTTTAACAATGAAAAGCACACAGAAACACCACCAATTGCTCACTTCCTGGACAATAAGCTTAACAGCTACAGAAATTTAGCAGACGCTTTTTCTTACTCTTTTGATTATGCTTTAAACGCAACCTAGTAATTGTTAAAGGATTAATATAAGTGTAATATTTACTACTGTGTGTTACTCTAACAGCAGCGGTGGGAATAAGTTTAGAATTTGTTTCAATAAAAGCAGGTCATATTAAACATTGCTTTATAATAATATAATTGAAAATATTAGCTAAACTATTAACTTTTGACATGATAGATTTGCTATTATAATGTCAGCTTTAAGCCATTTTTTTCAATTTACTAAGCGTCCATAAACGAAAACCTGATAAAAAATGTCTAAAACCAGCCCAACATCTGAAAATAAAATTCTGAACAAAAGAATATATTGTGTATTAATAAAAATCGACAACTTTCAAAAAACTACTCGTCTCACTAAGACATTCAGAGGGAACAACTCACTAAAAAAAATAAGATTTTGTCATTTAAAAATAATTTTTTTACGCTTTAATTATGGGATGTAGATTCTGAGATTTCACATAAACACTGTTTTTTCGTTCAGACTACATCGTGATAAATATTTATTGGTCTCCTTTCCTGTTGTGAAACCTGAATCATCTTCATTTTCAATATACACTGAGTTCAACCATGAAGGAGCTCTGATTTATGGTTGCTCTATATGAATATTAAAACTAGTGGTGGGCCATTATCGGCGTTAGCGCAGCGCGTTAACTCCACTCTTATCGGACAATCAAAAAAATATTGCCGTTAATCTATTCTCACAGTTGTGTTGGGAGCTGGGTCTATACTAATGATGACTTTCAACATGATAGTTAAGCGCGGATATATATCTAGGGGCGAAAACAGATCAGTGTAGCCATACTGTGAAATTACCACATCGAACGTAACGTGCTGACATGGATCCAGCTATACAAACGCCTGTGTTACCTCCCTTCTCGCACACTCATGAGAAAACAGATTGAATTATGAAGGAATCTTATGCATGTATGCCCTAAAATTGAGAGTTTTGGTGAACAGATGAATTTGAATAAATTCACTTGTATGGAGACACGTTTTAGTCGATGTGCTACAGTCAGTGTCTGATGAATATATATACTCTGCTCATTGGATGGTTAGTCTCCGTTTTGCTATTAACAACATTCTTTATGATTTCTGATAAAAACATTAAGAATATCTTTAAAAGTTCTCTTTTGCATTCATATTTCAAACCATTTTCTCATCAATCTGTGAGAGTTCAGGGCGATGTGCGCTCCCCAGACAGGGGAGGTATTTCTGGGCATATATCTATCCACCAGAACTAAATTTTAGGGCATGCATCCATCAGAATTTTGAAAAAAATTAAGAATATGTTTAAGAGTTCCCTTTTTGTTTATATGTCAATCCATTTTCTCATCAATGTGCAAGACTCTGAGGAGATGCACACTCCTGCGACAGGGGAAGTATTTCTGGGCATTTATCTATCCACCAAAATTCAATTTTAGGGCATCCATGTCTAAGAAATATGAAGAAAATTTCAAAATGGTCATGATACATTTTTAAAAACCTTGGGATCTTCACATCTTCCAAAGTCGGATTTTTGGAGACACTATATTTTTAAAGAGGGACATCTATAATTGGAAGTGGGACACCCTGGAAGTGGTACAAAAAAGTATTTATAACTTTGCCAAAATCTTAAGTAAGAAGACAATATTACATGTGATTTTACAAACAAAAAAAGTAAACTTGTTATTTAAAATTCTGGAGGTAGCACACACGTATTATGAATGCCTTTGGCGGAATTCCAATGAGTGATTTTAATCAGGATTAATTCCAAGATTAGAGTAAGATTAATCTAGATTTAGAAAAATTAATCTCTGCCCACCGTTAATTATAAAACCCAGAGTTACTTTGTTTTAATAGAAAACTAGAGAACAAAAACATCTGTACACTATTTGGCACTATTAATAGGAACTGAACCTGACAATGACCTTGTAAGGGCACCAAAAGACAATCATGTACTAAGTGAGAATTTCTTTAATGATTGATCAGTTATAGACTTCAGCATAATAAGTTGACATTTTGGTTTAACTTCTACAATTCAGAACAGTATAGATATGCTGCTAGAATGAGGCTTACTGCCTGTGAAATGTTGCAGCACAACGTTCATTCCCCACGAGATCTTACTCTCTGAAGCTCAATGTAGCATTATCGGTCCCTGCTTAAGCATTTTCACGAACTGGAACTAATAGAAATGCTGTCTTCTGTTTTTGCTATACCTTGACAATTAATTCTACCATCACAATTCATTGTGCAAGACAGTTCTTGGTAATGGGCACAGTGTAAGCCATCTGCTAGGTTCAGCTGTTGAGCTATTTTGGATGCTACAGAAAGCATGAAGTAGGCTTTCAGGCCTACTGTATTTTTTTTCTCTCATCATTTGGTTTCATCTCCTTTAGCTGATACTGCGGTGGCAAAAGTAAGGTGCATGTAGACTCATCATTGCCTGTTTACTTCTGCTCACTTAATCCCTCTTTCTGCCCGTTAAAGGGATCCACGACTAGGAGAACATGTTGGCATAAATATGTTGTAACTTTCCAATTAACTTAAAAATATCCACTTGCAATATGTATAATTTCATATTTACTTCCAAAATTATATATCCTCAGTTATATTTTTTACCCATGGAGGTCGCTATTTTTTCACCTTTGCAATGCATGCAATTGATGACACAGTCAGGCCTAAATGGACTGGAACCTACAGAGTAAATACAGGATAGCTAACTTTACCACAGTTGTTGTTTATTGTAAAGCATTTCACTTGTGTAAACTTAGACAATACAACACTGCCTCAAGGTATTCATGAACCATTATACATGAGATATCTGTTGAAACAGACCATTGATAAAAGACTGTAATCTACTGTTTACTATATAAGCTATAGCTAACACCATTAGCGGGAGCTAGCGTGAATCATAATCAAATTGAAAGATAATGAACGGCAATTTAGAATGACAGTGAAGCATCTTTTAGTCCTTGAATCACATCATATATCCGAGAAAATGTTTTGATAACTGGTGCTTCTTTTAGCATAGCTCTCTATCTGGATTAGCAATAGTGTTGCATCAATGCCATTTTTTTTGGCCCTGATACCAATACCTGGTTGTGCAGATTGGCCCATACCGATACCATGTTTGAAGTTGATGTGTGTGTTTATAAAAAGAAATGCATACTCCTTGGATGTAAAATAATTGCCATCATGGCTTTATCAAGCTGCTGCCTACATTTGTTAAGCAGGAAAAAGACTAATACAAAGTGAATCCAGAAGAACTTTTTATTGCCTACCTGGAATTTATGACAATAGTTTAATAAACTTTTGGCTCTCAAAATGGTATCAGTGCCAATACCGATACCACAATTTTAGTGCTGGATTGGAGCCCTGCCCTATACTGCTATCAGTATTGGTGCAACACTAGTTAGCATCTCTGAGCAGGAACCTCACAAATACCATCTTCTTTGGCCAATTCTCCCATCTTCCTCTGTTTCGTCCTCACCATCTTCATTACCTCTTGTGATTTTTATATCGACATAAATTTTCATGCGCTCGATTTCAACCTGAAGAAGTTCTTCATTCATAGTTTTGTGCTGGACAGAGTTGGCGTTGCCAGACTTAGCATTCATCATTAATGCAAAATGCATTGCAGGGTAAACAACATGGCGACATCTGTGTGACAATATTCTATTTACATTCATTGAAATTAATAGCTTTCAGTAATTTTTCTGTTTTGGATTTACATTGAAAATAAATGTTTCTCAAATAAAGTCTGTTGTCACAGCTAATCGTGAAACCCTTTAAGATAACTCGATAACACCTTGTTATCTACTTTTAATAAAGGAGATGAACATACAACCCTTGGCATCAAAATAGACAGGTAAATGTATGTGTTTAGTTTTTATTTTATTTTAAGATTTTGCAGGCAAGTTTTGGCAACTAAATTCCTTTATACTTCTAACATTTGGGAAAAGCTTACAGTAAGTAACCAGTTTGTGCTAATGACTGTCTGGACTTAGGGACTGAATGACCAGTGGAGCTGCACCCTCCCCTGGTCAGCTTAGCTGCTACTATCTGGTGGCCACCACTTCATGACGGACACTATATGCTCCCTGCATCTTAACAGATGCTTCTGCATCTGAGAGTCTACCAATAACCCACAGTTACTGATCATGATGTCAAAACCTACTCAAACATTTGTCACATGATCAGGATTTTCCCTGACTTCAATGCACTCTATCTCCTCTCTTTCCCTCTCCCTCTCTCGTTCCCTCTCCCGCTCTTTCCGCTTTGCCCTCTTTTTTTTCTTGTGCCTCTTTTTGGATGGTGGAAAGAAAGTCAGGAATACGGGCAAGATGACGAAACAGTGCAGCAGGGTGCATCCCGCCGTGAGTAGGGAGCACTTGAACAGCGTGTAGGTCAGATTGGAAGGCACAAACACCAGAGGCATGATCCCGATCAAAAAGCAGGATGTGTTCTGCAGGATCGCCGCCCCGTGCTCCTCCAGTGCCAGCTTGATGCACTGCGTCCTGGTGTGCTCAGTGGCCAACACAAAAGTGTACAGGTGTGGTGCACAGTGATCCATAGCGAAGTTGAGTGTATAAATAAGGCACAGGATTGAGATGCTGTCCATGCCAACATTCCAGAGGGTCATCAATCCCAAAACACCCAGCTCCACGGACGTAACCGTGAGAATGAGCCAGAAGTTTCCCAAAGGGTTAATGACTAGGAAGAATGTAAGAATAAGGATGGTAAGTACGCTGAAGCCTGAGGTCAAGATTGGTGAGATGACAGAGGAACTGTAGCGGTCCATGAAAACAAATGTGGGATTGAAGGCAATGAATTTGATGCTGTTGATTAGCATCAAGGGACGAAGTTTTTCCAAGAGCTCCACCACCTCTTCCCTCTTCTTCTCTGTGGTCCGTGCCACCAAGTACATCCGTGAGGCAATGATGTCGTACTCGTCAGTTTCGCGGTTTTTAGAGAAGATTATGTCCTCTGTAAAGTGCTGGTACTCTGGACTGCGCAAGAAAGAACCCTTCAGGATGTTGATAAAGTCACTCTTAGTTGATGCACTGACATTCACTACCCGGAGGTAATGGAAAAAGTTGTCCATCCAGGACATCTTGTTGAAGCCATGGCTTAGAGTCTTTAGGTGCTCCTGCACAGTGGAGTTCCAATACTCAATAGGCTCGTAGATATAAAACCCAATTACAGGGCTGTAATTACTAAAGTACTTCTGCTGGGTAGCAGCAAACGAAACGCTTGGTGAATTACTGGCCAGCAGGTTCACTATATTCGACCCATCACTGATCTGTAAACATCCCATGAAGGAAAAAGAAGCATAGATGAGATATAGAATGACCACAAAAGGTTTCACATATGTGTTGGTAATCCACTCAGTGTAATGTTCACGTAGGAAGTGCTGGATGAAGTGATTTTGGTATGGCACACTGTCATGGTGCGTGGACAGGTCATGGCCGTCACTCATCATGGTTTTAAACCAAGTCGGCTGGCGGTCCAAATATTCTACTGACGGGATCTTACAACAGAAAACACTGTGGTATCGGTTCTGCTCGAGCTGTCCAGCAAACACCAAGCAAGAGCCATAAAAAGAAAAAACATAAAAGTAGTTGACCAAGATGGCAACACACATGCTCTGGCAGAAGATTTTCACAGACTCAATGTTGGTGAAAGGGCTAGCTCCCATGCCAAAGGTGATGATGTAGAGTGAGCTCGTCATGGTGTAGCACACCATCACATCTGCAAAGGCGTCAGCCACACGCTCCTTGAATGGCAGGTTTTCCCTTGTTCTCCTCCACCCTGCCAGAAGTTCAAACACCCCTTTGGTTCCATGACCTATAGCAGAAAACAGAAACAAATGTTATGATGTGAAAAGAGATTAAGGATAATTACAAGTGTTTAGATGATTCCAAGCCACTAAGAAACACATAACAAACCAAACCAGACATATTTCTAGACTTCTGTATTGATCTTGGAATAGTAGAAACATATATATGGCGTCACAATTATTTCAAAATGCCTGTGAGAAAAATAAACATACTCCCGTGTATGCCAAACTACTTGTGCTCATTGTTTATCTACCATTGCGCCACAAAATCACAGTTGCACGAGAAACTGCCACTTTGAGAGGAGAAAATCTCTCTCTGTGCATGACAGTTCCTCCCAAATGTGCTCGGGATCGTGCAAGGGATCTAACTGTGCGCATGGTTTTCTATCCAGAGGCCATGCTTAAGGATGCCTGCGCTCTCGAAAGCGTCTGTCCTCGGACAGATTTTCTCTTCGCGCAAAGGAAATGTGTTTTGACAGGTTGGGTGGAGATAAACCACTTTTGTAAGCCTCCTGATTGGGCCTTGCAGACATGATCACACTAGAAGTGGTGTCAGGAAGCCTTTGACTGACAGCTTGTAGACGATGACTCGAGAAGACCCTGGGGTAAGTGGTAAGTGTCTGTCAAAGGCTTCTGACACTACTTCCTGTGTGATTGTATCTGCAAGGCCCAATCAGGAGGAGGCTTGCAGAAGAGGTTTGTCTCCACCCAACCTGTCAAAACATAAAACCGAGGACAGAGACGTAGTCAAAACCGAGGACATGGACGCTTTCGAGAGCACACGCATCCTCCAGGCTGGCTGCTGGATAGAAAATCGTACACACGGTGAGATCCACAGCACGATCCCGATCGTGCAGAGAGCGACTTTCTCTTCTTGAAGGGGCAGTTTTTCGCACATGTGTGATTTGGTTGTGCGGTGGCATTTTAACAACGTGCAGAAGTAGTTTAACATACAGGCAAGTATGTTTATTTTACTCAAGGGCATTTTGAAATAAATGTGACACTGTAGATATATTTTGACACTAAAATCAAAAGCAACATTTAGTACAGTACTGTGTACGCTAACCAGGACATATTTTTCTAAATCTCAGATTTTATACTTAATTTACAACTCCTGGGGACACAAAAAAACAGTTTTTTTTTTTATCTGTAGCTACACTGCGTTCAGCCTGAGCCTGAGGTTAAGAAGTACATGTACGTCATATGGGTAGGAGGCTCACATCTATACACTGAAACATGAAACCATTGTTATAGGATTTATCTACTTAGGAACTACGTTTCAAAAAATGATTTAATCCATTTGGATGTACAGGTGAAATGAAAAAAATACTTTTGCTTTTACACCTAACCTCATCTCCATGTGTATTGGGCCTAAAGCCCTGGTCACACTGGTTTGCATATGACTTTTTTGATTTTTGATCTGATTTTTTTCCATGACACACTGACGGCATATAGAGATGCTCCGAATATGCTGGGTGAGCAGATCTGTTCCAACATTGACTTGGACAGATTATGAAAAGATATTAAAAGTTAATTGAATAAAAACCACATAATAAAGAGGAAATATTGGATAAGTGAGTGGATGACTTGTACAGTTTTCTTTAATCTTGTGTTTAATTACCTCACTTACAATCTATACATACTTTTTTCTTTATCTTTAACTAAAATTAAATAACGATCTCATAAGATCTTTTGTAACCATCTTCGCTACATTCGTCAACATTGCCTTTTCTCTTTCTACATGAGGTGTGATTGTACTTATTATTATGCAACACAGCCCAAATCCGTCTTCGTGAGGCCCATTCACTGGAATCAAATCTGTGGGTTTTTCAACCATCAAAAATACAGACAGAAAAACATGGCATACAAAGGCACAGTGCAAAACCACCCACACTGGAACACCCGCTCACCCACACACTGTGCCACTGTTTGAAAAATGCAAAAGCCACATGGCTGGGAGTAAATGTGCTTCAGCAGGAAATTGTGAATGCACCAACAACTCCATGTTCCTGGACTGCATAAATATTTCAATACCGTGAATAACACATTTGGCTCATCCATATCATAAGACTAAAATGTGCCTGTATAAAGCTAGCAGACAGGGAGGTGGGATTACTACCCTTGACAGCGTTCTAAATTTCCCTTGTTTGACACAGAGGGAAAAAAAGTTAATTAACTATAAAGGATTAGGCCTATGTAATGAGTCAGCTAGATTACTCTTCCTGCTTTTAGTTTTATTAAGCTTTCCTGCAAGTCAATTAGTTAGTGTCACTTGTTTTAGAGGGAATAGAGAGAAGGAAAAAACCTCACCACTGTTTTTTACAGCCACTCACAAGGGGTCTCTGCAAACACCAGCAGTCTTTTTTCTCTACTATGATTACCTGACAGGATGTAAGGAAGCGTTTCATTTTTGTTGACAAGACTGAAAAGCTTTTGAATTAATTACGCTGCTTGATTGCAGGCAGGTGGAGGAGAATCTCAAACAGCAGACCATCTAGTAAAGAATCCCTGGTTAATGTCACCACTAATACAAATTGCTATTACTGTTGATTGTTTTGTTATAATTATGCAAATTAGGTAGTGTCTCTAATATATTTAGAGATTATATGTGTGTATTAAAGGTAGAGGGGAGGATTACACAGAAGTTTTGAAAAGAACCACCCTCTCCACTTACAAAAAACAAACAAAAAAAAACGCACATGCACAACCCTGTATATGCTCCTGAAATGGAACACCTATTAAACGTATGCAAGAGCATGCACGGGCCCATTTCTCCTTGTGCACACCTTTTTAAAAAGTTGCTGTTCAATTGTACAAGCTTACTTTCCAAAAGAAGATCTGCAGTCTTTCCACTGGGTCAGACTCACCACCGGTAAGAAAAAATGTATTCACGACAAGCAAACCTGTTAAAGGCGAGCTTCAATGACTGGCTGAAATAGTAGCTCACCACTCATTCACACCTGAAAATGCACCAAAAAACATAGCTTCTTTGGGACGAGCATGTATGATGGCCTTATGTAAACATATCACTAGAATGATTGACAATTAGGAGGACCACTTATTTTGATTTTATACATTCTAAAGCAAGACATCCCAAATAAAAAAAATAAAATAAAAGTAAGATTTTGACTAAATCTGAACGTCATTCAAGCAGGAAATGTGGGTGAATTTTTTGAAAGCCATAGGACTTATGACTAGGCTTGAAAACTAAAAAAAAATTAAATAAACTATTGATAATAAATGGGGTTCAGGTTACCATGAAGTTTTTGTAGTTACACTGCTATAAGGTTAGGCTGCTGGAGGACATCAGGACCAGTTTTCTTTATTATTCTGCTCACATCTGGGCGACACTAGGGTCAGATACAGTGGATTGCCACCAACCGAAGGATCGTCGGTTCAAGCCCCACCTCTGGCTTTCAGTGTCTTGTGCTGTTAGGCAAGACAGTTCACCCCACCTTGCCTACTGATGGTGGTGAGACAGGCTAGTGGAGCCTATATTAGGCAGCCTCGCTTCTGTTAGGGAACCCCATTGCAGCTGTTGCCACCATCAGTATGTGGGTGAATGAATGGGTGAAAGCCCTTTAAAGTGGTTTGGTCAAGCTATACAAATACAGGCCATTTACTATTTTACTTCTATTCTCACATTTTCCATTATTTGTTACATCCAACTCTAACTTTACGTTCTCTCTAAATTTTCTGATCAAAATAGCTTCATTTGGTCTGGTTCTTTTTAGATGTGACACCATTCTGGATTTATTATCATACATTAATAAATAGGAGTTTGCTTTTATTTGTTTAATTTCTCTTTCTGTAGTCAACATTGGCATGTTATTTTTTGTTTCTTCTCCTTTTCAAAATGTTTTACATAATATAATAAAGTGAAAAGAAAAAGAAAAAAGGGATTCCATTTAAAAAAGGGGAACATAAAAACATTTTGGGATCTTAAAGAGATCATATAAAAAATACAAAAATACAGGCAGAGGCAAAAACAGGGAGAGAGGAAATAAAATAAATACAGACTGAACCTATAAAAAGTAATATTAATTTTTCAACTCTTGCCATAAGACGCATCAGAGCGCGGCGGGGGGGTATGGGGGGCGTTGTTACAGAGAGACATGGGAGGGACATTTGGCAAAGGTCAAGGGGTCAGCACTTGAACCCATGACAACACTGGATGTCTCTTTTTATTATGCATGTGGCTGTGTTTGCTTGACGCTCATTCTTGCCTGGAAGAAGATCATTTTACTTAACAATTTATCAAATTGAGTTTAAATTATAATGGCTTACGCAAACCTGGACCTTAAATAATTTAGCTGATACTAAAGAAAATCAATTTAAAAACTTGTGTGTAGTGTATGATAAACAAAAGCAAAGGGTAAAAGTTGGCAGGAATCCTCTTAATACTGAACAAGTATATTTGTGTTATTTTCTGCACTTCACAATGTTATACTACAAAACTAGACCAGCATTTCTATCATTTTTGGTGAATAACTTTAATTTCTACAATCTCATGACCTAAAAGACATAAGAATCCACAGTGATCGAAAAGAAAGGAGTCTGATTGTAGTCAGTCAGAGAAACAAATGTATTAATCTAACTAAAAAGCACTCTTTTCTAAATGTTGCATGCAGACAACAGTATTTTTAAAAGGAATTACCAAATAACAAACCAATATGTGGATTTCTTTTAACCTATATGCTTATTTCTCATGATGATAGATATCTCACAAAAGTTTATTTTTTTATTTAGTTGTATCTTCAAGGTTACAAGCTCAAAAAATCCTGATCTTTTGTACTTAAGGGATGTAATGTGCTGGGGATGAATCTGAGTTACTATGGCAATGGGGATGCTAATATGCTGTGAATGAAAATGCTTTATTTGTTCACAGCTACTTATTTCATTCACCACAAATCTTGGATCTTACATCAAAATGGTTAAACTCATTTTCTGTCTGTATCGAGAAAAGCACCCTGAGCATTAGCATTGATTAGCTAACTTTCTTTAATCA